AAAAAAAAAAAAAGTAAAAGGGATAGTTGCTAGTATTAGCAATTTATAAACTTTTATTTTAAAATTTCTTTGTTTATTTTTGAACTATACTAGTTAAATTTTCGAATTTTAGTCACAGATTACCACACTCAGCTGCATGAGCACCAAGTATTCACCATTTTAAATTTCTAATCACTAAGAGGATGATTGATATAAAAAATTTTGGTTTTGTTTGGATTTTTTGTTTGGTTTGGTTTGTTTTGAAAAAGTTGGTATGGTTAATTGTTAGTGGATATATTAAAATAATATTTAAAATAAAATGATTAAAGTTAGAAAATTTGCACCAAAAGTGGGATTGACCCTTAGTATAAGAGTAAAATTGAAATTTTGGTGGAATCTATTAATATAAGACCCAAAGGTTGCCTTATTTACTGAAAAATGAAATTGAGTTTTTGGTGGAACATATTAATATAAGGCACAAAGGTTGTCTTGTTTTCAATTCTAGACGCTGACATTTTTTCCCCAAAAAACGATAGATGTATTTAACTCAACGATAAGACAAAGTTTTACAGAAGGTGATTGACGATGATCCATTGATTACTACTGCACTTGTCTGTCACATTACAACCAAACCGAGAAATTGCAATGTTGCTACAAGACGTGATTCATTGATTACTACTTCACTTGTCTGTCACATTACAGCCAAACCGAGAAATTACAATGTATGGCTACAAGAGGAAGTCACAACTTCGAGCGCTAAACCTAAGCACCTATCGAGTTTGTAAAAAGGATCCTTGTTGACCACAAAATTGGACCAACCCAAAGCACCAATTTGGTGTTGGCAATTAAGTGATTAATGGTAATTATACGTAAAGACACCACGTAAATGAGGTCGAGTGTTTCCTTAACTGAGGTCGGATCACCATCTTTAATATTGTATTTAATGTGAGAATACATCTTCTTCACAAGAATTATTCTCCCTCTCTTACTCAAGGATTCAAATGACTATTTATGTAAGTATGGCCCAGTTAGGGTTACTCGGACAGTACAATTGTGCATTAAATAGAAATGACAAGCATTAAATGTTGCACGTGACCCTATCAAGTTTTTTCTGTGTTGGCGGGTAGACTTTTTGTCAGGCTTGTCCCGTTATTAATGATGCAAGCTCAAATTACTATTATTTTAAGCAATTCTGTCGCTTTTAGTGTGATCGGCTCGAGTCCTTGCACTTGAATTTCTCAATCTAACCAAGTCTTGAGTTGGGCTCTTCTGTCCAATAGTCATCTGGCCTGGTTTCTTGCTAGGCTATATGATTGTACGACCTCTTATATTATTCTAGTACGGTCGATCTTACGACCAGGACTACTTTCTGGTCGAGCCCTCTACCGGGTGATCCGAGCACCCGAGTCGAATTGTCGATGTGAGATCGACGACATTCTCTTCGGCCATGAGTATTCCGACCTGCCACAAGAACGAAGTCCCAGAGGGTTATGGGAAGAAAAAATTTTAAAGAGGAACTAGGATTCTCAAATAGAGAAAAAAAAATCCTAAAAAGAAATGTTTTATGTAATAATAAATTTTTTCAAAAGAACAGTATGTGAGATCCAAATGAATCAAAATTAATTACACACAATTGAAATACGTGTATTTATAGAAGTACCAGCAATAACTAGATTAATTAACCCATAAAACTGGATTACAAATCCTTACTAGATAAGTTTTTGAAGTTAAATTATAAATACCTAAATTTTTTTTTTTAAAAAAAAAGTTTGAGGGTGATACGGATTCTTAGTTTTTTTTTTAAATACTTGATGGTACACCTATCGATATTTATATTTTATAGTAAATACATTTTATATAAAATGAGCATATCGATTTAAACTACAAGCTCGTTATTTAACATTTAAAATCAGGTTCCCCTGAGTCAAATTCCTAGATCCGTCGTTGGGCTCAAATTAATCGGAATTAACTACACACAGTTGAAATAAATTACTTATAGAAGTACCAACAAAACACTATGTAACTAGATTAATTAACCCATAAAACTGGATTACAAATCCTTAATAGATTATTATCATATCGTGTACACCACATTTTTTCAAAATTTTGAGTTAATTGAAAAAAAAAAAAA